AGAATCCTTTGCAGACGACTTAAATACGCGACGGGGTATTGTAAGTGGCAGAGTGGCCTTGCTGCCACGATCCACTGAGATTCAGCCCTCTGTCGCTCCGATTCGTCCCTCCCCCCCACTCTTCGATTAATTTCCCTACAGAATCCCTTTTCGGGGTTCCCGCCCGCGCCCTTGCCGTGGCAGTTCGTTGAGTTGGTTGAGTTGCTGCTGCTGCTCACGCACCGTGCGCCCTTCCTGCCAACTCACGGAATCGATCGTCCCCCCCCCCCCCCCCCCCGCCCTTGCCGTGGGAGTTCGTGGCAGTTCGTTGAGTTGGTTGAGTTGCTGCTGCTGCTCACGCACCGTGTGCCCTTCCTACCAACTCACGGAATCGATCGTCCCTCCCCCCCAATTTAAATAATTACAAGCTCTAGAGCAGCCAAGTCCTCTTCCTGCTGCACAACTTGGCGCCCGCCACGGTCGTTGCTGCTGCCACGATGCAATAGGTCTTGTGCTGTGTTGCTGCGTCCTGCCCCAGCCCCACCCACCAGCAGAACGACAGCATGGCAGCATGCACGCATCCCCCATCCATAAAAAATGCCCATTTTTTCAGTTTTGGGGTTAATGCTCCCCCGTCCGTCCTATGCTGCGCCACCAACGCCGTGCCCCGCACGATTTCGAGGTTCACGGCCTGCTGATGCTCTGCTATCGTGCCAACTTCCGCACTGCCCCATCCCGCCCAGCAAAATCTGCTCGACCAAATCACCCCAAACTTGCTGTGAACAACGTCCAGGCCATCCCCTCTCTGTGCGCAAAAAATCAGGGCGAAAGGAGATGGTCGCGAAAATCAAGTTTTTTGAGGTTCTGGTGTGATTTCCCGCACCATGGCATGGGCGCTACAGTGCTGTGGTGCGAGTTTTCAGCCTGTTTTCGCTCAACCATGGTATATCTCAAAATCTGTGCATTTTTCCCCATGCCACCCTCGGTCTTTTTGGTAGATAATCACCTCAGGATGCTGTTTGCAAATTTTCGTGGCCTTTCGATGCGTATTCTGCCCGTTTTGGATTTTACCAGGAAAAACCTTCCGAAATTTATATAAAAAAATCTGCTAGACCAAATCGCCCCAAACTTGCTGTGAACAACGTCCAGGCCATCCCCTCTCTGTGCGCAAAAAATCAGGGCAAAAGGAGATGGTCGCGAAAATCAGGTTTTTTGAGGTTCTGGTGCGATTTCCCGCACCATGGCATGGGCGCTACCATGTCGTGGCGCGAGTTTTCAGCCTGTTTTCGCCCAACCACGGCATATCTCAAAATTCGTGCATTTTTCCCCATGCCACCCTCGATCTTTTTTGGTAGAGAATCACCTCAGGATGCTGCCTGCAAATTTTTGTGGCCTTCCGACGCGTATTCTGCCCGTTTTGGATTTTACCAGGAAAAACCTTCCGAAATTCATATAAAAAAATCTGCTCGACCAAATCGCCCCAAACTTGCCGTGAACAACGTCCAGGCCATCCCCTCTCTGTGCGCAAAAAATCAGGGCAAAAGGAGATGGTCGCGAAAATCAGGTTTTTTGAGGTTCTGGTGCGATTTCCCGCACCATGGCATTGGCGCTACCGTGCCATGGCGCGAGTTTTCAGCCTGTTTTCGCCCAACCACGGCATATCTCAAAATCCGTGCATTTTTCCCCATGCCACCCTTGGTCTTTTTGGTAGATAATCACCTCAGGATGCTGCCTGCAAACTTTCGTGGCCTTCCGACGCGTATTCTGCCCGTTTTGGATTTTACTAGGAAAAACCTTCCGAAACTCATATAAAAAAATCTGCTCGACCAAATCGCCCCAAACTTGTTGTGAACAACGTACAGGCCATGCCCTCTCCCTGTGCAAAAAATCAGGGCAAACCGAGATGGTCCCGAAAATCAGGTTTTTTGAGGTTATGGCACGATTTCCCGCACCATGGCATGGGCGCTACCGCGCCGTGGCGCGAGTTTTCAGCCTGTTTTCGCCCAACCACGGCATATCTCAAAATCCGTGCATTTTTCCCATGCCACCCTCGGTCTTTTTGGTAGAGAATCACCTCAGGATGCTGCCTGCAAATTTTCGTGGCCTTTTGACGTGTATTCTGCCCGTTTTGGATTTTACAAGGAAAAACCTTCCAAAATTCATATAAAAAAATCTGCTCGACCAAATCGCCCCAAACTTGCTGTGAACAACGTCCAGGCCATCCTCTCTCTGTGCGCAAAAAATCAGGGCAAAAGGAGATGGTCGCGAAAAGCAGGTTTTTTGAGGTTATGGCGCGATTTCTTGCACCACGGCATGGGCGCTACCGTGCTGTGGCGCGAGTTTTCAGCCTGTTTTCGCCCATCCACGGCATATCTCAAAATCCATGCATTTTTCCCCATGCCACCCTCGGTCTTTTTGGTAGATAATCACCTCAGGATGCTGCCTGCAAATTTTCGTGGCCTTTCGACGCGTATTCTGCCCGTTTTGGATTTTACAAGGAAAAACTTTCCAAAATTCATATAAAAAAATCTGCTTGACCAAATCGCCCCAAACTTGCTGTGAACAAAATCCAGGCCATCCTCTCTCTGTGCGCAAAAAATCAGGGCAAAAGGAGATGGTCGCGAAAATCAGGTTTTTTGATGTTATGGCGCGATTTCCTGCACCATGGCATGGGCGCTACCCTGCTGTGGCGCGAGTTTTCAGCCTGTTTTCGCCCATCCACGGCATATCTCAAAATCCGTGCATTTTTCCCCATGCCACCCTCGGTCTTTTTGGTAGATAATCACCTCAGATGCTGCCTGCAAATTTTCGTGGCCTTTCGACGCGTATTCTGCCCGTTTTGGATTTTACAAGGAAAATCCTTCCGAAATTCCTATAAAATAATTCCCTCGTCAAAAAATTATGAAATATTTTCTGGAATACCTTTGGACCATCCCCTAACTCGGTACAAAAAATTAGCTTAATCGGAGTTCGTATGAAAAAGTTAGGGGGGGTGTGACAGCTCAGACATGCCAGTATCCACTGCCCAACTTATGAAAAATTCTCTAAGACTACTATAGGGGGGAGTG